AAATCCGACTCGAAATCCTAACTCGAAAATCCAACTCGAAACCCTAACTCGAAAATCCAACTCGAAATCCAACTCGAAATCCTAACTCGGAAGTTAGTTGGTCTCAAAGTAACGAGGGTCGTTACAAACGAAATTCACGGAATATACAGTGGGAAAGGGCTTCGTGTCGTGATCGGCTCCATGAAGTTGTCATGGCTACACTTCAACTGCAAATATGGTCTGTATTCTTTTTATCACCCGGCTTAGCATTCTGCCAATAGCTCCAGTTTCCTGTTTTGCAACCTTAAGTCGCATTATTCCCTTGATAAAAATTAACGCTCTCTTAAATTTGAAGTCTCTTAGAAAAAAGTTGATTTTCACACTGTTTATTGTTTGATTGTTTACATCATTCAAACCAAGTTCTAATATTCCCTTTCCCAATAAAATGCACCCGGTTTATTTACATGGAAGAAAGTAATTATTAAATATTATTTTCTAGAATGGCATAATTTTCAAAACTGACGCAGCGTTATAGTTAAGTTTATTGTGCCTGAATTCCATACACACGTTCATTTCTTCTCCTTAAGGTCGCTCAAAACAGTCTCCAGCATTTAGATTTTGATTATTATGTACACAGGGTTCAGAGCCACCTTAAAATTTCAAAACTTTATAGTGGCTCTGAACCCTATTTACAAATTGTTTTAAAACTTAACCAAAAGTTGCTTCTTATCATGCTTATTAAAATTTGATGATACAAAAAAATCTTACCGTGCCGTTTTTGAATTATAAGCCGCTAGAGCTGAAATTAAGAGTGTTTTTAGCAGGTCATACTGTTGCTATGGTAAACTATTGTGTCAGGAAAATGATAACAATGTGTTCACCAATGACTGGTCAGTTTTTGATACTACGATTGTAGCATCAAGTGATAACGAGTGGTTATAAAGGACCCGTCAAAATCTAACTGCTAGAAACTGTCTTGAACCACCTTAAAACGACGACTTTCTGCTATAATTTTACTTTGAGAGCCTACTTTTCACAGCCACAGGCGATCGTTCGATTGTGAGGAAATCTGTCACCGGATCACCGGATTCCGATTGAATATCAAATTGTTATGTTGGGATAATCTTCATCAAACTTAGCAAGTCTTGAGAAGCGAGAGAAGCTGGCAAGTCAGGTGAGCGCCTAGTTGACTTGTTGTAACACAACTTATGTCATCAATATTCCCTAAAACAATCTCGTTTGCGGAGACCGCGATCCTTTTGGTCAGCACCAAAAGATCACCGCCCCCAGACACAAGAACGTGTCTCCACCCAAGACGGAAACGAGCGTAAAAAGGGCTATTGACGCCATCCTAAAAATGGTCCAATTAGTGTAGGGTTAAAACTTAAAAATAAAATCAAAATAAACAAATATGTTAAAACAAATACTGACTACCCACCCATCCCGCACAATGTATAGCATGGCTTGAATCCAATTTTCCAGATCTCGATTTGTCCACATTGCATGATTGTTCATTTTGTCGAGAACGCAAAATGTTCGAGACCAGTTCACCCTTATCACTGAATTTGCGTAAAACAACTAAATAGTTGGTAGTCCACGCAAATAAAATACACTAGATTTGGTCTCTGAATATTGCAGTGGCACGAGACTTCCGTGCATTCTCGCCTAAATGCTGAGCAATACTGCATGTGATCAGTAGAACCCCTCACTCCAACTGTCATCACCATTGGATCTTGCCGGACTCACTCCTCGAGGCGTTGGGATTCTCCTTGGAGAAATAAAAAAAATAGGTGCGCAGTGCGTACATGTGTGGCTTGCAGGTTATACTTGTAATTAGGATAAAACCGAATTAACATGAAAAAAAGAAAGACACTAACATTTTCAGGTTAAAATAAGTCCTTATTATAAAAGGCTTGTAATAGGTAAGGGTAAAGTTAAAAAAAAAATGTAAATGCGTATTTAATGTCAAACACAGGGAGTGCTTGCGTAATCACCCGAACCAGAGGCTCATGATAAAGTGCTTGACAATAATGCGGATCGCATTGGAATTTGGAAACGTTTGTTTCTAAGGAGAGGGAAAAACCGGAGTACCCGGAAAAAACCCTCTCGGAGCTGACAGCTTTAATCGCTACCGTGGATAAATAAAAGTTTATTACTTATTATTATAGGCTCCAGCCTGATGGGCCACTTGGCTTGTATGAAGACTTTTTTACCTACTTATTATTATTATTATAACTGGCAACAAGTGAGAAACTTTAGATTGTTATCTCATACCTAGGTGCTGCCAGCTGACCTCTGGGTGTCACTGGTTTCCTTGGTGATGGTGTGTGTGGTGGCGTGTTAGGACGTCTACTGGCAGAAACCTGGCCAGGAGCGCCTCTACTTTGTGTTGGAGCTTGAGGCAAACTGCGCCTGCGTATTTCGACATCCTCTGCTGTCCGTGGCCGCGCTCCAGGTTCACGTCTTCTGACTTGATTCGGTTCACGTCTTCTCACTTTAAGTAGAATTTGAAAAGACAAAAATAATTATGTAACAGAAAAAGGAGTCTGAACAAATTCACTATCAGTGAGAGAGATAGCTAAACTTATTATCAGCTTTGACGAAAAGTCACAGTTATTTCTCTACCTAGACATGTATGAGTTAAAAACGCTTTCAACATTTCAGCAAAAGCAAATAAGTTAGAACTGAATGAATCTAAACATACAGTTTGATCTGAGAACCAATACAGTGACTATGTTTGCACTTTAAACTTCAGACCAATGCAATAAATCCATTTTAACAATATACATATATTCAAACAACAAAAAGGGGTAAATGGTGTGGATAAAACAAACTTAGATTGTTATCGCTCATTATATGTTCTGCGGGAAGAGATTCCGTCAAGTGAAGTTACATGTACCTGCTGTTACTATAGGAACGTCATGATCAGATCTCAACTCTTCTCGCTGCCAAGAGCCTGGAGACAAATTGAAAACACAATCTTTGATTTCCAACATGCCACATTTATTCTGCAGTCTATCATAATCAGACTATTAAGTTTCTTACAATGTCCCGCAACCTGTAACTGTTCAGAAGTATCATAACAGAGGAGAGCAATCTTCAAACACTTACTGTTGTAATCGTCTTGATGTTGATTGTTTGCAGCTGGGACACGTCTTCGGGGCTGCACATGTGTTAAGTCCTCGTCACTGTCAGCTTGAAAAAAATGAAAGAAAAAGAAATTAAAGAAAATGAGTGACACACCTGTAATTCACCGTGTTGATTTAACCTTGACATTAACGTTTGTTCACCAACTCACCAGCTGCCACAGGTTGTCTTGCTTGTGGAGGGCCCCCTCTTCTCCGTAATGGACCTAAAGTATAAAAAGAAAATTTCCCTCAACAAACTATAAACTGTCTTCGAAAATACAATTGCCTACTATATAAAGTTTAGGCTATCACAGAAAAACAAACAAAATAAAAAGCAAGCAAATAATCGACTAACCAACCAAATGGACAAACAACAAAGCAAATGACTGATAGTAAGAGCAATTGTCAATCGAGTGTTGAAAGTAATCAGGCAATTACTTTGATTTGGGTTTACTACGGTACCTTGACTGGCTATGTTATTGGTTTGGTTTTGGTTTTACAACACCCAGCTGAAAACTGTTCTATAAACTATGGTATCTGCCTACTACATGGCTTTCAAAATCATATCAGTACGGCCTAGAAAAGAAAAGAAACCTTCAAAGGAAACTAAATTTGGTTCGGAAAATCTGATGATTTGAGAAATCGGGGATAAAATGACAGTGTTTGACTGAGGAGAGGGAAACGACTTTTGGCTTGAGTTATGGGGAGGTTCGAAAAAATGAGGGTTCGAGAAATCGGAATTGCACTGCAAACCCTAAGAAAGTCATAAAACGCCTTTCTTCACCTTTTACTACTAAGTCCTCGTGTTCTTGAGATACTTGAACACGCCTTTGTGGAACTACACTGTCACTCTCGTCATCGTCATCCATTTCAAATGACGCCACATCTTGTTGAAAAAAAAAAAGGAGGTTGGGTGCAATGAAAATTATATATTTAATTTAAGTTATATGGGTACATGTACATGTAATTGTATGTTAAACAAACAAGTGGTATATCATAAGACTTGCTTGTTTGTTCTTGGTAAGCACCCACTTTCCTTGAAATATCAGTCATCCAGTTGTCATATTTCAATACATGTAAGTCGGAAATTAGTTCTTACATGTGATGTGGTTAGAATGTTATGGCCATTTAGGACATTTTGTTAAAAGTCGATGTCATGTTGGTGATGTTTCAGTAGTTATTTCTGGTCTGGAGTAATTGGGTTTGCTCAGTTTTGAATTCAAAGACCTACATACAATAGTCAACAAATTATGACACACTCACTAAGTGACGCTCTGGACTGGGGGGATTCTCCTCTCCTTTTCAGTGGACCTATCAAAATATGCGCCACATGTTACACAACACTAGGTTTCTAAGGAGGATATATATAGGGGAGGGGGGAGGGG